ATATATATCGACAGATGCAATCAGCAAATGAGAAGCCTAATGAAATCATCTATGTTAGTTTAATACAGGCTTGTTCTTCGATTGCTGCTGAAGTGATTGGAGAAGGGGTACACGCACAAGTGATAAAATTGGGAAATACATCCAATGCATTTTTGATATCCTCACTTATTGACATGTATTGCAGATTTGGACGCATAAGCCAAGGACAGGCAATTTTCAGTGAATGTCCTAACGTAGATCTTATCTGTTGGAGCTCAATGATCAATGGTTATGGAATAAATGGGCATGGAAATGAGGCTCTTCAGTGTTTCTCAGACATGTTAAACTCTGGGATAAAACCAAATGATGTTGTTTTCGTTTCTGTTCTATCTGCATGCAGCCATTGTGGTCTTGAATATGAGGGGTGGAACTGGTTTCATGCTATGGAAGAGCAATTCGGTGTTACTCCAAAACTTGCACATTATGCTTGCATGGTTGATATGCTTAGTCGTCAAGGCAATATAGAAGAAGCTTTTGAATTTGTCAACAACATGCCTATTGAGCCTGATAAGAGGATATGGGGAACTCTGCTTGCTGGTTGTAGAAAGACTCGTGTATCAGTTGAAATCTCTGAAACTATTTCCAAACAGCTTATTGCTTTAGACCCAGAAAATACCAGCTATTTTGATATTCTATCAAACCTATACGCAGAGCAGGGCAGATGGAAAGATGTCAAACAGTTGAGACAACTCAAGGATGAGAAGAATTTGAAGAAAGAGATGGGTTATAGCTTAATTGAAACCGGTGTGTAGAAAGGTACAAAAAATAAACCGTACGTTATCTACTTGGAAACCCAGTCATAGATTTGTGGAATTCTATGTCTTCTTCAAACTGTCCTCTTATTTGCCAATTTGTTGTCTTGACTCTTGTTCCAACCAAAATTTTTGAGAAGTTGGACAATGACAATCTCAATAATTCATCTCTATGTTCTGAAGTGAGTTTCACCTTTAGAGACACTTGAAATACCTTGCTCTTCATTGGGTACGTACGTGACAAGATAACAATGTCCAAAACAGAAGTATGACGTGCCAAATTGATAGTAGTATTCTACTTAAGAGTTAGTTATATAATACAGACCAATATTATAAGGGTCTGAATGCTTCCTTAACTCTGAATGACAGCTACAGTTTAGGAGGAATTCAATTGATCGATGTTAGTCCTCTTACAATTGTTGGAACCTATTACTCTTGATATCAACAAGGCAGATTACCAGTGATGGGCAGCAGCAAAATATGGATGTTTTCCAGTCAAGAACAGTTGATACATTATTACAAAAGAAAGCAGGCCATTGGGACATGGCCTTGGAAGATGTTATGGAAGACTAAAGCTCCAACAAAGACGGCTTGCTTTGGATGAACAGATTACAGAGTATTGGTTATGCCATGTGCAGTAGACTCAATCTTTGTGAAGAAGGGCAAGAAACCACTGACCTCCTGCTTCTACATTGCATATTTACAAAGTAAGTCTGGTACCTTTTTTCGAATATTTATGGGGTGCATTGGAATCTGCTATACATCTCCTGAGTTGCTGCTAAGTTCAACTCAGATAATAGCAGAAACTGTCATATCATTCGTCTAATTGGCTTTCGGGTATGTTTGGGGGACTTGATAGTTGTGGAGTTTGAGACTTTCATAACATATAGTGGATGTCAAAGAAAACTTGTGTGTAACCTATTTCAGTATTGTTATAGAACAAACCATTATGTGTCTCTGTATAAAATGTTGAGATTAATAGTTTTGTTTGCTATAGTATTCAGCTTATAGAATATAGAGCAGTTTACGTGATAATAACGTGATATTTGCCATCAATATTTGTCTTTTCAAGATGATACACAATGCACATTGAGTAGTTTAGCCCATCAATGTAAATATCAGATCTTTCAGGCTGAACATAATCTCATTGGATTCGTTGTATAAGTATTGTCTCTGAATCTATTGCGCAAAAATCATTGTACCATGTTAAAATTATGAGTAGGATAATTCAAGTATCTCGAGGCACGACAAGGCTAACACTGTTATAGTGGTCAAACATGTATCAAAGCTTCTGAAATCTCCACTCATATTAATTTTTTTCAAAAAATTAACCAAACCTTATGAAAATGAAATAATTAAGACAGTTTTGAAATGTTAGTTACGATTATACATTATAGAATAACTAAAAAAATTGATACGAACCAAACTACTGACACCCCTAATTTGTTTACACAAAGTTGCATCAAAAGACTAGAATTTTATTGAAAGTCAAAGTTTATCCAAATTATTTATTTATGCAAGCGAAATTTTGCATGCGACCTTTACCATCACTAGTTATTAAAAAAAAGAAGATATTTTATGTAGTTGTTGTAAAGCAAAAAATAGATTGAAATATCTTCCAGTACAAGAGTTTTTAGTTTTTCAATACTTTTTTCTGTGAATTACACTAATCATGAGTTAATTTCTCAAATGGTTATCAAATTTATAATTTATTTTATAAAATTATTAAACTATTCATTGTTATTAATAGTTACTTATAAATAATTTCTTACAAGATAATTATGGTCGAAAATTAGAAAGAGGAAAGAGAAAAATATATGAATTTCTTGAAAAAAAATATTTAATCGAACTTTGTTAAGAATATTTTTTTCCTTTTCTTTGTTTATTGTTGTTGACAATTCCATTATGATTCATGTTTTTGCACATATTAAGAGCCATTTAACTAAACCTCAATATTTTATTAGCAAATAGTCAAGAGACTATGGATGTGTTCATATTTTTCAATATTCTCGTATTTGCTTGGTCAAAAAAATTTATAAATATTTTTTTTGAAATATAAATTTCTTAAAAATGAAGAAAAATGATTTTTCGGAGGAAAATAAGCTCTACAAGTATACCACATGTTCACCCTCACAACGTTGCCTCCATCCCTACCATCTATTCTTTTACTTCCTCGCATAATATTTGTCTAGATTATATATAAATACTTTTAAAATAATATTTTACTTTTGTACTTTCGTAGATGTTGAACCCCCTTCGGCTACTTCGTGTGTCTATTTCTTTAGATTTTGAATCCCCTTATTGAAAATTCTGGCTCCGCCACTGGTATGTATCACATGAGCTTAAGAGAAAATAAGAGTTGCAAGCACGTCTTCCACTAACTTATAACTTCTTCGTTAGAGAATGATTCATCCCCTTCTACTCCTATTTTTTTATACTCTTTTTCTTCAAGTCCTCCATAATATAATTATATACTATATGCTTTATTAAATTATATATTCACATGCCTCATTGCTTAAACTCCCGACAATAGTAACTACCCTATTATTTATTTTATATATTAAAAATAAGCATTGTCTTGGTTATTCATACTTTCTTATTTTCTTTTTTCTATTATCATAATTATTAGTTTATTTTACCTTTTTTTTTTCTGTCCTTATTAATGAAATTTGCTTATAATCTAACCTTTCATTGAATAAAATCACAACTTCAATATAAAATTAGTGACAAAAAATCTAGTTATCCCTAGATGCTTCGTAATAATTCTTTTGTAACATATTATCAAGATTTCAAAAATGCAAGTTTATATTCTCAACAGATAATAAATTGACAAAAAAATCTACATTGGAAAAAAATATCACCGTAAAGTTTTATATTACCTTTAATTGAATCTTTATATACATATATATATATTCCAAATATTATCTATTGGTCGCCAATAACTCATATTGTAATAATCCAATAATATTACATCTAATTATAACTAAATATTAATCAATTAAATGCCAGTACATCTCAAATTTTAAATCTAATCCAAACTTGAAAAATTTATTAAAAACCAAATAGCAATATTACATCTAATTAACTAAATAACAAACAACTAAATGCCAGTTTATCTCTAATTTTAAATTTAATCCAAACTTTGTAAAATTCATTGAAAACCAAATAACAATATTACATCTAAATAACAAACAACTAAATGCCAGTATATCTCTAATATTAAATCTAATCCAAACTTTATAAAATTTATTAAGAACCAATTTAACAATATTGAATCTAATTAACTAACTAATAATCAACTAAATGCCAGCTTATCTCTAATTTTAAAGCTAATCCAAACTTTGTAAAATTTATTAATAACCGCCCCACTTATTCAAATTCCTTCATTTCAAGAAAAAAAAAAACTTTTTCTTGGTGAATAAGAATTTGATTATTAAATTGTAATAACTGCAGTAAAGACAAATTCTTTAATTTTTTAATTCCACCAAATCTAATTTTTAAATTTTAATTGACCTCATAACAATACATCCCTTGAGTTCAAGGAAGCATCTCATGGACCAGCTCATTCGTGTGTACAACATTAATATATTTATCATGCAATTAAAAATTAATATAATCATATTATAAAATTTTAATTAATTTATTAAAAAAATTATATAAACCATATAATGCATGCCTCATTGTACATTTTCAAGAAAAGTCCACAACTTTATCAGCCATTTTCAGCAAAAGGGTGTTCAAGATATGATTTTTCTTGAGAAAAAATAAATCAAGATTTGATTTTATTTTATTTTTTGATGAAATAAATCAAGATTTGATTTTTGGAAGAAAAGGGGTTGGAAAAAAAAAGAAGAAAATTTAAGGAGGGAACAGTTTCAAACTTTCAAAAAAAATCTGTGACTGTTATAAAGGTAACATAAAAAAAAAAAAGGAATAGTTTACCGTTTGGCTTTAAATGTTTGAAAATTCTGTTTTTTTTTTTAATCTTCATCTTGAAGATTGCTTTTTTATTTACAATTTTGCTGCATATTCAGAGTTAGTATAAAAAGTTATAGTTAACAATGACACATGCTGTTTTTCTTTTGCTTTTGTCTCTAAAGAGTATAAATTATTTTACTTTTTGCTTTTAGCAGTAGAAGATTCTGTGGTTTTATAAAAGTTCTTGGTTTGAAATCAGTCATCAATTTTCTTGAACTTGTGCTTACAAGTCTTGAAACTACTTTTGTGTCAATGCAGATTTGATCGCGGAGTTTACTGATCAAAATGGATAACATTTCAAGTACTGATGAAAGTTATGATGTGGGATATGGATATCAGCCATCACCTTCTTCTGTGGATGATCAATCACCAACTGAAACAACAGGTCTTTCGACGTTGAGTGGCAATTCTTTTGCTTATTGCAGAACAAACTCAGAGACTTCAGCTTTTTCTGAGCATACAGATGAGAATAGTTGGTCTGAGACAGGTTCTCCTTTGAGTTCACGGAGTTTGAAGTCTCCTACTCGTGCAGTGCTTTCGAGACTAGGAATGAGGCAGCACAAGACAATTGCAGATGATCCTGACACTGTAGATTTAGGTAACTTTACATTTGACAGTTAAAAAGTTTTTTTTAAGTTTTATATGAAATTGCTAACTTTTTGTGTTGGAAAATCGATAGAGCTTGAATTGATGAAGGAGAGATTTTCGAAGCTGTTATTGGGAGAGGACATGTCAGGAGGAGGCAAAGGGGTAGCAACAGCAGTGACAATATCAAACTCTATCACAAATCTTTATGGTAAAAGTTGCTCAAATACATTAAGTGAAATTTTGTTATGTTTCTTGTTTTACTGATTGGTGTTTTTTTGTTCTTCAGCATCTGTGTTTGGTCAACACCAAAGATTGGAGCCTTTACATCCTGACAAGAAAATAATGTGGAAGAGAGAAATGAATTGTCTCTTATCTGTATGTGATTACATTGTAGAATTTGTTAGTACATCACAGATGCTACAAGATGGAACCACTATTGAGGTGAAAAAAAAAATTAGCAGAAGAATTACTCTCACTTCAGTTTTTGCTTATCTAAGAGTGTTAGTTAACACAATGTCAATACTTTCAGGCGTTGACAAGCAGGCCGCGGTCAGATATTCACATCAACCTTCCTGCATTGAGAAAACTCGATACCATGCTCCTCGTAAGACCACAACTATTATCTCCAAAAACCAAAAAATTTACAGTCAAATGCTGATTCTGAATTAGCCAGGGTGAAGCTAAAATTGATAACTTTACAGGAAATCTTGGACAGTTTTGAGGCCACAGAGTTCTGGTATGCTGAGAAAGGAAGCATGTCAAACAACTCAACACGTGCTGGATCGTTTAGGAAGATTGTTCAGGTACAGCCTCAGCCTCAGCGTAAGGAAGAGAAGTGGTGGTTACCAGTTGTTTGTGTTCCTTCTGGTGGCATCACTGAGAAGGAAAGGAAGCACTTGAGACACAAACGTGATTGTGCCAACCAAATTCACAAAGCAGCAATGGCCATCAATAGCAGCATCCTTGCTGAAATGGAAATCCCAGAATCATACATGACATCACTCCCGAAGGTATCTTTCATGACATGTATCAAATACTTGTTTGATCAAATAATACTCAAATTATAATACACAAACATGGAAACTGCAGTACTAATGAGGAGGTAATTTTGCTACAGAGTGGAAAGGCAAGTGTTGGAGACTCTATGTATCGCCACATGTATTCAGCAGAGAAATTTTCCCCTGAACAGCTCCTTGACAGTCTAAACATAAGCTCTGAACATGAAGCTTTAGAGCTTGCTGACAAAGTAGAAGCTTCAATGTATACATGGAGACGTAAATCATGCTTGCCTCAAGCGAAATCATCATGGATCATGGTAAAAGATCTAGTCACTGATGATCGAACTGATAAGAATAATGTTTTAGCAGAACGAGCAGAAAGTTTGTTGTATTGTTTGAAGCAAAGGTATCCTGAACTCTCACAAACAACATTGGACACAAGCAAGATTCATTTCAATAGGGTAAAGTTTTACACAAATCTTCTTTGAGTCCATGACTTACACTTGTTTTATCATTCTTGAATAGATAACAAATGAGATACTGATTCTTGCAGGATGTTGGCAAGGCAATCTTGGAGAGCTATTCTAGAGTACTAGAAAGTTTGGCGTTCAACGTTGTTGCTTGGATCGAAGATGTACTTTTTGTAGATAAGACAATGAAAAACCAAGAAGAATAGGAACTGCAGTAAGAAAAACCTTTTTTGATTACTGAATAGGATAGAACCAAGTAGAGAACTCGAACAATGGAGGATCAATTTTACTATGTGAAACCAAATTGATTGTGTAATTTGAGAGTAGTACTCAAACTTGGAAAACATGTTTTGTTTTTAACTTGATGATTTTGTATATTTATAACTTAAAAATCCAAGAAGCAAATTCTGTAGTTTTTCATTCTTTATTCTGTTAGATCCTTCAATGAGGACATTTTGGGTCAGTTCAGTTACACCTGCATTTGCCAGAATATTTGCCGCTTATACAAGTGCTGACAGAATAAGGAATAGTTTTTGGTACTTGAGAAGAACTAAAAGAACGTACATATTTTGGTGATTTTTACATGCTCGGATGGTTAAATTTTTTGAAAAATATTTCTTTACGAAAACAAGTGTTTCTTAAAAAAAATTAAGGAAATTCCACAATGATTTGTCTAGATTAATCATGTTCACCTCCACCCAAACAAGAACGACATGTATCATTGCATTAACTGGTAATGTTTCTTTCCTTCCTTCCTAGCCAACCAAAAGAATAATGAAACCCCAAACAACAATTCTTAGAAAAATCAACAGAAAGAAAACATTAGGAACTCGAAACTTCATACATAATAAAAGAAACTTCCCTTGCACGTTCATCTTTGGAAATAACTACTAATAAAAAAACCCTGCATAATCTGCAAAGAGAATATTATTAGTCATGCACTAGACTAACGGTATAAGTGCAAAATCAGAAATCGCAAACAACACTTCAGACTGCATACAAAAACATAATACCATAGCCACAATGAACTTACACAAGCACTTGGGACTGAATATGTTCGATAGTCTACTATAATGGTGAAATACAAATGCTAATCAACAGCATCTAACCCTTCTTTTCTTATTTTTCTTTTTTAGGGTGGGGGTGGGGGGTTGAGTCTGGCGGGAACAAGAAGATCAACTAATGAGAGCATACAGAGAGTTCACAACAAATTTTACTCTGATTTTGAGGATACAAAATGACTTTGCATATCATGAAACAGCTACATATCGTTCCTTTGAATATTCTAATCAGCTCAACATAAGGAAAACAATAGTTCCAATATGTACAACAACCACCAAACAGCACCAATATTTGGGCAATCTAGGAAGGGGCTTAACGAACAAGTTAGTAGTCGAGCGGGGTCCTAGAGCAGTTGGATGGGCAGGCTAGAGAAAAGCTGCTTCACGTTTTATCTGCAACTCAATGCCCCAGAAAAGAATGGGCCTCCTAGCAGCTTCATATGCCGCCAAAGGCAAACAGAGCAACGCTCTGACATGGTGATTCCAAACACCAAACAAGTGCATAGGGTTAGTTAATGAAAGACCTGTCTCGGCTCTGCTCCTCACCCAATTCAAAAAGAAATTGTGCAACTCATATCAGCTGTCATCATCTACTGCACCTATATATGTGAGATCTGTCCTTCTCACTCTTACAGTTCCTTTAAGCCAACTTGATGCCTTCAGATTGGCATGATCACCCCCACCAACCAAGGGAGAGTTACTGGATGAGTTGCTTGACCCTGCCCCGTCCTCTAAAAGAATCCATGGATCCACCTCATGATCATTCTCTTGCTGTGATGACACGTGCTTGGCCTTCCCAGCCACACTTGTGGCAGTTCGTAATAATGAACCTGGATTCCTCTGAGTTTGGTTTGAACCATTAGAAGAGTGCAATACAGACACTGGGTTGCTGGGTAGCAGAGAACTGAGAGCAGCTGGTAATACAGACGGGGGCTGACAAGATATTGACAACCGAGCAGAAGGGAAAAGTATTGGCATGGCACATTGGATGCGCCATCTGACTGTTTCAGGCAGCTGCATCCGATCTAAATCATTCTGCACCAATCAAAAATATAATGAAACACCGTCATGTAATTTATCAACAAATATACATCAGAGCCAGCCAAAGAATGGACAACTTATAGAATAAATACATTCTAAAACTCCATTAAAAAAGATCCAGGATTATCCAAATTATTTCACCTACACTGCGACTTTAGAATCCTATTCCATTGCTAAGCAATCTTAAAGACATTTGCATGATTAAATATTCTCTTGCCATTACCTATCTATATATATTCTATTTTAAGTATATGCTGGTGGTGGCTGCATCCAAGGGCCTTTGCAAAGCGTGCCAAAGAGTAACCTCATAGATAAAAGGACCACTGATTTACACATGAAGTCTCATTTTACTAGTATTTATACTACGGTGTTGTATTTAACAAATATGTAATGGCTGCTTAATATGGAGAGGAAAGACAATATATCATTTACATGCTTTTACACAACAAAATGAAGTTGGACCTGGAAATTTGTCGTTTTCCATTTAAAATACTTCATCATGAGGTTACTAACTCAAGATACAGATGTACTAATTAATTCTACCAGACTATGCATATTAAAGGTCACAAAAAATCATACCTGCAGACTCTCGGCTCCCTCACGTTCAAACGCAGAGTAGTCCTTGCTAGATTCACTGGGTGCCTTAGAGCTTGATTTCCACTTGAGCCAGCGTGGTTGGTGGCAACTCAGCAAACCATGCAATAACAGTAATAAACGATCAAAGAGACTTTCTAAGGACACAACCACAGAAGCAGTAGCAGAAGCCTCCACAAGTGAATCCACTTCTCTCTTCGAACTACAAGCTTGATTAAAGGAGTGGCTAGCATCTTCGTGCACAACCCTACTTCCAAGGATACGTAATATAACTGAGGCAAGCACATGTCTCATATTACGCCCTGATGGCTCCCTGACACAGTCAAATATCACGATTAACGTTATATATAGACAAACCTCCTGCTACTTTAGAAGATATAACTTGCATACCACAATGGGTATATTCCCTAAAATCAGCAATTAATGGCAAGCAATAATGTGTGTTGCATATTTAACTCACCACAATAACTCTCTTATCAATACAGTAGGTTAGCTGCAACCTTAACATAGAAACTTAATTTAATCGCATAAAACTATGACCGCATATCAGCTAATCACTATATTGATTTCTCAGTCGTGACCTGTGGCATATACAAGAACTATGTAGTATGGGCTTCCATGAAGAAAACCAGAGGACAGTCTGACACGGCTATATTTACAGATATTAGTGGTATGTTTAAGCAATGGTGAGAACTCAGTCCACGGCATATTCTTACCTATCTGCATATATTATAGAAAATAGTCTCAGGATGAACTGCAAGCGCAATGACAACGATGCTCGCAATGCTGCAGGTGAAGGTGGTACTGTTTCTGCTGGACCGGTGGCTCGTCTGGCTAACCCAGGACTGCTACCTCTCGTTCCCTTGCGGCTGCTTTTAGTTGTTGGACTTTCAATTCCAGAAGCAACTGTTCCAGCAGGCTTGCTTGCTTCACGAGTAACTGCATTGATCTGTTGCTCAATGTGGTTCATCTGTTTGATCATATCACTAGCAAATGTGCTTCGTGAATCATCTGAAGCTTGATCCAGACAAGGGAGAATTAGATCAACAAGGGCTCTCTCAGTGACATGGAGCTTTTCAACATCAACAGTACGACCAGACCCCTTCACAGGCCGCTTCAAGGTAGTACCTTCATCCACCACTTCTCCTTCTTCTATGGAGGAAACTTCAGATTTGAACTTTTCCCTCTTGCTTGTTGTGGGATCAGAGTTGGTAGTACACCACCCCCACGGCTTCCAATATTGAGCTCTAGTTGAAAGACCTCTACTTACAGCAATATTATTGAGCCGTTGACGAACAGATTTCCTTCCTAAAAGAACATCATTGCCTCCTAAAAACCATTTAGCCTGTAATAGCATAGAATCCTCGAGTGACCTCCCCAAAAGATGTACAACTTCAGAAAAAAGCGGAGCAGCATCAGGTCTAACAAGCAACCTGGTAAGGATCATTTCAATAATGTTGCTCTCGTTCTCTGAGACTGATGCTTTATCAGTGTTTGGCGAGAGGGATCTTAAAGCTTCAACTAAAGAGAGATCATGGGCCTCCAGCTTCTCCATTACAGCTTGCTCGTTCAAGAGGAGCCTAAGCTCAACCCATTGCCAATGAAACTTAGCAGGCTGCAAGGTATCCAAAATGTATACTAGCTTATCAAGAAGCTTTGTCTCATTTTCAGCACAATGGAACTTTGACTCTCCTTGCAATGCCACCTGATTTCCGTCATTCAATTTAGCAATTGTCGGTGGTATTCTACAATCAATAAGGGCATTCAGGAAAAGCCGTGCACGGAGTGGCACAAAGGAAGAACTCTTCGAGCGCAAGTCAACACCACTTGCTTCTAACAGGGAAGCAAAATCAGAATCAACAGTATCGGCAGCTATGAGGTCATAAAGGCTATGTGTATCTCTCAAACATACTTCGCGAAAGGGCAAGTGCTTTATAACATCACCAAAAGCCAACATTAAAGAGTGATGCAAGTGCTGAACCTCATCACGTGTCCCAGAACTTGCATTGAGAATCAATGGCCTCCATAGCACAAATGCAAACATTGAATATGCAGGAGGGAAGACCAAGTTTAAAGGTAGCATCCGCTGCATTCTAAATAGGGGCAGAATAGAAGCTTCACCCAGAAGGTCTACAATAAATCCATCCGAAACTGTCCTACAGTTCCCCACAAGCACCCTAAACCAGTGGACGGAAACTTCAGCCAAACTATCTGCTTTTAGTATTCCAACTGAACGTGCATTCCCATTTGAATTGGACCTCATACTCCTCACAAAATGGACAACGTCTAACCCATCCTTTAATCTGAAGAGGGAGACCATCCTCTCCAGGCTAGAAACTCCCTGAAGAATTGCCCCAATAACAAGTGCAGACACAGCTGCAGATATTTTCGCAGCCCGCCCAATGACTACCCTACTTGAATTGTTGAGAATATCACTTGACAGATTGCTATCATTCGATTCCGGAGACAACTGAAACTGAGACCGAGGAGCTTTTCCAGGAGCAGAAAGTTGTGCAAGGGCAGAGGATGTTTCTGTAGCAAGAGCAACTTCAAAGACGCGGCTTTGACGCTCTCCAAGAGCTTCCTTAAGTATACAAAGACATATCACATGAATGCGTAAGATGCAACGTGCAAACTGCAACGAAGCTGAAGTGGATGAACTCGGGTGATTATTACTGGCAGTCAGATCAGGAATCTTCGCTATGACTTGCCCAACATTGATAACAATTGCAGATATGGCAGAGGAAACCAATGTTGGGTCTCCTTCCT